GCCAGGGCAGCAGCGGGCTGTGGGGCTGGGAGGAGCGGGTTTGGCCGTGGCCAGAGCAGCAGCGGGAGCAGGGGTGCAGGAGCGGGGCGGCAGCAGGAGGGAGCGGAGGTGGCGACCATGTCTGTCACACATCAGCCTGGGCTAAAGCCACCCCTAGGCTGAAGCCAGCCTCTCTGTGAAGGCTTCGCCCGGGCTCAGCAGCCAACCCAAACCAGCCAAAGAGCTGTTCCGTACCATCCGACGCTGTGTTCGGTGATAAACCTGGGGAGAAGGAGGAGAAAGGAGGAAGGGGAGACATCTGTGGCTGTGGCATTGGTCTTCCGCTTCCCGCGGCAGTGTCAGCTGTGCTGAGGCCCGGCTTTCCGGGAAGAGGCTTGGACGCCTGCCTGCCCTTGGGAAGCGATGAATCAGTTCCTTTCTCCACTCTGCTTGAGCACTGAGCTTTTGCTTTCCCTATGAAGCTGTCAGTACCTCCACCCAGAGGTCTCCTCGCCATCCTTCCACCTTCGCCACAGGACGGGTGCGGGCTCGGCTCTTGGCCGGGGTCAGCGCGCAGCCGGGGCGCGAGGCGCTTGCTGCTCTCAGCTGAACAGGCTGCCCAAGTGTCAGCACACTGCCCCTTCTTGAACACTCAAGACTCAAAATTGATTGCTTCTTGCTGCCTTTTTTTTTTTTTCCTCCATAATTCCAGTTAAATTAACTGACTTTTTCAGCTGCATCAAATGTGAAATTTTTGTTTCAAGTTTTTCCGTTTAGCCACTGGGAAACATTGTGCTTATTTCTCTCATGTACATCTAATGAATCCCCTTTCATGTTTCTGTATAGCATTTAATTGTGATTGCTTTCTTTTCCCAAGAGGTAGTTGCTTCAATTATTGCAAAAACTGGGAGGAACTAAGGTGTTACAGGCAAACAAAACATAATGATTTCTGTCTTTCAGGTATTTGAGCTTGCAGTCTAAACGGCTTTTATTTTGCCTGGTTTTGGCAGTTAGGCAAAGGATAATTATAACACAAAGAAGGCTTTATATATGTACCTTTATATTTAAGCTTTGGTGTTGTAAAAGGCTTCTGACTGGTAGGTAAGAATTGTAAATTATGGTTTTGAAACAGAAGTCTTGGCTTGGTTGGCATTTCAACACATATGCATGAATATTGCTGGTAGAGTACTATTGTAGATTGTTAGGAGGAAAAATCTATAATGTACGTGCTGCAGTTGCCCTTACATTATGTTTTCCTCTCAGAAGAAAAACTTTTTCCAGCTCTAAGAAGTTAGGGAGAATGGATAATGTTTTGATTTTATATACAATGACAAAAATTTAGGCTTCCAGCACTAAATACACATTTTTTGAGGGGGAGAAAAACATGATTACTGTCATGTATTGCCCTTTATATGACAAGTGTAAGCAGAGAAATTATATTAAAACCAGATACTACAATCTAGAAAAAAATTTCTACCTACTTTTCCCCTCAGATTGTGTTGTGGGGTTGTTTTTTGGTTTTGTTTTTTATACAAACAGATATTGCAAGGAGGTAGAGGGTGAGAGTGGTTGTGTATTTAAAGTACATTATTGTTTGTGGGGTTTTTCCTGAAACTGGAATGGATTTTGTCCTTTGCATCAGTAAGTATTTACATTCAAACAGCATCTGTGTGTAAGCACCGTGGAGCACTAGGTAGCACCAAATCTAAGTTTACAGCTTAAGCTCAGCTTAGAACTGAGATTGTCACATGGATCTCTACAGTAAGTGATGGGGAGGTTTGCAATTGCCTATTGCAAAAATGGCCTAGACAGAGCTTTTGAGAATGAAAGAGAGGGAATTCTATAACAGAATGACAGCTAGCTCTCATGACAATATGTTCTGGTACCTAAAGTATTATTTCCAATTTTTACAGTAGCTCGACTCCAAAGTAATGAAGCCGTAATAGCTGTAAAGCACCCTAGACTTGTTTTGTTTCCCTTCCTCTCCGTTTGAAACGATCTGTGTTTGCGGATGGCAGGTGCTGTGCACAGCTAATGGCATCGTTTTCAAATTACCATCACAGCTTAAAGGCTGCTTTTGCTTCCTTCTTCCTACACACCCATCAACTTCGCGTGCTTGGAAAGGCTTCTTCGAGGCTGTGGGGCCAGGTGTGAAGCACCACTTTGGCTGTGCCGGAGATGAGTGCGGTGGGAGGAGAGAACACAGGGATGGAGAGCTCGGGGATACAATGGACTCAGTATTTCGTAAGACCTTTGAGTTGTGATTCATGGTTGCAGTATACCTGTGAAACAGACTCTGTTAAAATACTTATTATGAAACAAGCGCTATGGGACAGCAAGAAGAGAGCACTACAAGAGGTTTTTTGATGCTGTAGAGTTAATGGGTAGGAGTGGGAAAAAGCTGTTTTGCCGCTGGGATAATGATGCTGTCTGCTGCGTTCTGAAAGTTATATTGAAAAGCTGAGCTCAGTGTTCTTTTCTTCTCCTGTCTTGGAATTTGTCAAATTTCTCCTTTATTTTTTGTTCTTGTGCAATGGGAGAAAGAAAGTCAGGGTATTGCCTCACTGTTGATCTGGGATGACAAGAGGCTTGATGCTGATCCTGCTGCCATCCCTGTCGTTCCAGTAGTTACATGGTTTCCTGCTGTGGGGGGGTGATCCAGTGGCATTCTTTAAGGCATCACAGAGTTCTTCACTTTGTGCTCATCTGTTCTGATAAGCTTTCTGAATTTTCTTTAAAATGCAATACATTACAGGATAAATTTATTTATTTTTAATAATCCGAAAACCTCTTTAGTAGGGGAGAGAAATTTCACTTTTCAGATGACTCTAACTTCACTGCATTTGAATTGCCTATTGCAAAAACAGCATTAGCAGAGTCTCTCAGAAAGAAGGAAGATTCTTCAGTGGAAAATAATATTTTACTGTAGGGATTACTACTAGCTCCCATTATAATTAATTAGTTCCTCCACTGTCCCAAATGCCACACAGGCGGTTTTAAAATTGCCAATATTTTAAAAAATCTGAAACATCGAAGCTGAAAATTAGTAAAGAAATTGGAGGCTGCCAAAACTGAGGCACCCTTTTTGTTTTCTTTTAATTCAACTTCGAAATGTTGGTCAAAGCTGCTGTTATGCGAACAGTACTTCTTTTGTTTAAAAACAGTGTAAAAATTCTGTGCAGAATACAGAATGCAGACACTGATTTTTCCAGTTACGCAGAGAAGCTCATTTTGGGCAGCAAAGTTGAAGCTAACAGACTTTGTTCTCTGTACCTAAGGAGATGTGAGGAGTGAAAGGAAAACAGGAGGATCAGCTGCCAGAAGTTAAAACTTTGTTGGCATCTCTGCAAAAATTTCTGCCTGTATCCAGTTGCTGTAGCAAATATTTTATGTCAGTCGGTCGTGTGTGGGGGGGTGTACATTAGCACTTCAGTCCTACCTCAGATTCAACTAATTGCCCAATTATGTTTGTTGCTTAAATATGCGTTTTAACTGATATTTTTTGCTCAACTGTTGCTCCAGGTATGTGTACAAATCCTGCATATACACGGTTCAGACACATTATGGACACTGAAAGCTTTAGCATGTTCTCCACCAAGATTTCAAGTCCTGGAAAGTCTGATGATGCAGTTCTTTGGCAGCCTAAGCCAATTTAGCTGCCGGCTTCCCAGGCTGGCTCTGTTGCCTCTCCTGCCCCTGCGTTCAGGCTCTGAGCTTGTCTGACCTTACACTGAACCTGTTGGGAGCACAAAGCTGGCAGGAAGCTGCGCACTTTGCCTGAGATAGTTTCTCGATGATTTAGCACGCTGGAATAGTTCAAAGCTGCCTCAAAGACACGAGTTGAAACATATGGCCAAGCCTGAGGGGAAACCGAGTGGGGATGTGGCTGCCAGCCTTTAGGTTAGCTCAGGGTGCCCGGAATTCAAAGCTGGAGGTGAGAGGTAAGGTAGAGTTTGGGTAACATCAAGAAGAGCTTTCTGCCCTCCGGTCAATATTGATTAAATCTGAGCTTCACCAGGAGAAATCTGGAATTATACTTTTCTGCTGGTTCCAGAGATGTCCTAACATCAGTGTAAAATCTGTGGTGGTGGATTGTATAGTTTGATGCTGGATAAACTATCTTTACTGAAAAGCAATTCCTGCTCTTTGGCATATTAGTTCACTTTCTTTGTGAATCTGGATATATTGCCCTTTTATTTCTGTGGTGGTGACTGGCCACTTCAAGAGACTATTTGATGTATCTTTTTCTGGCATCTTTGTGATTAAAGCCACAGTAAAAATAAAAGAAAAAATCACAAGAATGTGCAGTTGCCCTCCAAAATATTTTTTTCTGTGTTTGCCAAAAGGCAGAATAGTTTTATGTCCTTCTTGTCTAGAAATAATATAATAAAATATTGGTGAAACACAGAATCTGATATAGTGAGAACTGCTTTTATATCATGGCACTTTGTTTTTCTAAAGATTCTGTAGTAAAGAGTTTGAAACAGAAAAATGTATTTACATTTGTAATAGTTTGGCTCTAGTAATGAAGTAATATTCTGTGCTTTAAGAATGGAAACATGGAAATGGAAGCAAGTTTGTAACTTTTAGTAAACAGAGAGTGAGAGGATGACAAGTTTTGAATCACAGAGATCTTTTGTTATTCTAATCTGATTACTGTATGGAAAGAAATGTATTTACCAGCCACTGAATTGTCAGTTTCTGGTATTCTGAGTATGTGTAAGTACTAAAAGTAAATTCAATATATTTATCCATAGTGTAATTAATTACATTTTAATAGTTCATTGCTCCTTTTGGAGCAGTAAGTTCGTAAAACACTGATTTTTTTCAAGCTGTTACCTAAGCAATTTGAAGAACCTCTGTGAGATTCCTTACTTTTCATTCTTATAAATACTTCCATTTTAAATAGTGACACTGTAAAAACAGTAACTAACACTATAGGTGTTAAAAGACGTTTAAGGAAATTCTGAATTATACTTGACCCTTCTTTTTTTACTCTTTTTTAACGTTATTTACTGCAGGATTTGAACAAGCGCTTGTCCCTGCCTGCTGACATCAGGATACCCGATGGCTATCTTGAAAAGCTGCAGATTAACAGCCCACCGTTTGATCAGCCCATGAGTCGGCGTTCTCGTCGAGCATCCCTAGTAAGTGTAATGCAGCTACCTCATTAAACCCACCTCTCAAGTCTTCAGATTCCGCTTGATGCAGCTATCTGTGCACCCTGGATATGATTCAGCATCGTTTACACCTTGGCTGTTACGCCGTGAACTTCAGGGTGCACCTGTCAAAATCCCTTGGAGAAGTTCATCTTTTATTTCATTTTTTTTTCCTACAAACTTGGCCCTGTCATTTCTCAGTAAAGGTCTTGACCCACTGAAATCAGTGGCTAAACTCAGTTCCCAAAGTGCATACTTAAATCCTTTTGGTTTTTTTGTTTGTGTGGTTGGGTGGGGTTTTTTTAGAGCAGGGATGATCTATCTGAGCATCTAGGCCAGGTAGTCTTAGGTCAAGGTTGAGACTCTTTTGGTACAGTAGAAAGGCTCTAAAATAGCGTAATATCAGGGTAGGTCCTCCTTGCTGTTCTTTTTGTATTTGAGAAAAATTTTTCGTTCTCAAAATTGCTATTGAGATGATAGTTTTATCTTACTTTACTTTAAAAAAAATATTATGTGGATTCCTGATAATATGAATTAATAAATTCACATGTACCTTTTAGATTAGTGGATCGTTTTTAAAAACACAGGTCTTCCCTTGGAGATGGCAGAATGAGGATTTCTATACCTAGGAATACTATACTCCTGTAATTAGAGTATAAATCCTAGACATCTTGGACGCTCATAAAAATATACACATCTGTGAAATAGTAAAAAAATATTTCTAACTTATTTTCCCAAGAATTGTTACATTTCAATCATAATTTGGTCTGTCAGTTTTCGTGATGTTATTCAGTGTCTTGAAAAATTCGTAGACCGTTACTGACTTCCTGGGCAAATTTATTGGTGAGAAATCCTTTTCAGAGAAAAACTGAATAGGTTTATGAAATCCACATTGTTCTTTGTTTTCTTGATTCAGTGGCTTATTTGACGAAAGACAAATATGGGAGTACATGTATCAAATTAGTTTTATTAGCTGTGCAATATCTTTATTCTTTGTGCATTACTGATGTCTAAGAAAACAAGGGTTGAGTTTTATCCTGTGCTTTTCCCATGAAAAATACAATTTAGCGTGCTAGAGTAAAGCTCTGGTCTGCATGTCACTTTTACAAGAACAATAAGGAAAGATTGGATCTAAGCACTGAAAGGTAATAATAAAGTAACAAGCTTAAATGTTTGTGGCAGAATTTTGTAGCTCATTAACCACTTAGTTAATGATGTAATGTGGCACTTGAGGAATAGACCCACCCAAACCTTCTCTTCTCAGATGCTGGTGAAGTACCTTTTCAATAGAACCTTTTCAGTGTTGAAATACAGTATTTGGAGACTGAGGGATTTTCCTATGTACCTAAATCCTCTTGCTTATTTAATGGTGAGCCCTGAGAGCAGTTGAAGTTCTCTCCTCTTCACCTCCTAGAAGACAGACAGAAAAACAGTGCCCTCTAATGAATGTGGCGTGTGCATGGAGCCAGCTTCCTGTCACAAGATTGTTTCGCTTTGCCTTTTTTAAAACACTTTCAGGGCTTAAAAGTCCAAAATGAAACCTGCCAGCAGTGCTGTGGTATGCAGGTATGCATTCGCTGCATTGGTGAAAATCCTTTTCAGAGAAAAACTGAATAGGTTTATGAAATCCACATTGTTCTTTGTTTTCTTGATTCAGTGGCTTATTTGACGAAAGACAAATATGGGAGTACATGTATCAAATTAGTTTTATTAGCTGTGCAATATCTTTATTCTTTTATTGAGTGATTCAAGCTAACCTTTAAAAAAAAACAAGAAATTTGAGGACTCATTATTCTGAGATTGTCATTGAAAGCTTGCTGGCGGACTGTTAATTACAGTGTATGAACATTGTGCTGTGCTTCAAAAGCTTGTCTCTTTTCAAGGCTTAGTAGGAATCAAAGGAAAAAGGCTATCAAGTGTATCAAGTGAGCACTTGTAGTTTAGGTCTGGTGTTTTTCTTTGAAATATAAGGAAAAAATTAGCTTTTACAGTAATTATATTTTGTGTATACATGTACCACATTGTGTGCACAGTAGCATAGGTATAATTGTTATTCATCAGCCGTTAGAAGAAAGGAACCTAAGTACAGTGCATCAGTGTTTCTGTGTAAGTCAAAATAGACAGGTGTGTGTCGGAGAAAAAAAATAAGTTAATTCAGAAATTATTTTGAATGGAAATCGATCTTAGTGTGAGGAAAGCAAAAACTTATGATTTTCTTATGGGGAGTAGGCAACCGAATGTGAAAAAATTAAAACACATTCAAAGACAGGCCGTGAAGAGTATCTGTTGTCTGTATGTAGGAAATACTGTCTTCTATTGTCTAAAAAAGATACTAAGTTTTTTAGTTTTGATGAATGGGAAATTAGATTTTTAAGTTGTATTCCAGACTGTCTGGCAATAACAAGGCCAGTGGCTGTAAGTTCTCTTTTAGTTTCTCCTGTGAACTAAGCAGCCTGTCTTTTTAATTCTAATACCATCTAGTACTCACTTCAAGATATGTTTGCTTAAGTAGGCCAAAATGTACTTTGGAAACATAATATTTATTTTACTAACATTGTATATCAGTGGTATGTTTAAAGTCTCATTAGAGTTACAAGGGTGGTCAAATATCCACTTTGCTTGTATTTGGGGATTAACAGCTTGGCTTCAACAAGCCTCTAAATATGCTTGATGCAGTTTTAAAGCATTTTAATTCTAACACTAATTTAATAAAGAGAATTACTCTTAATAAAATGTGAATGTAATTATGTGCCCATTTTTCCTCTTAGATATGTCAAATATGTTTACAGATAAAATCTTAACGCTTCAGATGCACTTTTGATACATGTGTTCTGAAAATTGTTAATCTAACTTTCCTTAGTATATCATCGTATAATATTGTTGCCAAATCTTAATACAGTGATCAGTATTTATGTTACCATGAAATAACGTACAACTTTAATATCCCTCAGATTTTAGTAGCAGTGGATTTGAACAGTAAAATAGTAATGATCTGACAGCCTTCAGAAAAAGGTGTTACAGAGGCAGGCTAACCCTCCTGGCCTGTATAGCAGAGCTAAGTTGGTGACAAAAAAAAGAGGAGGTGAATAGATCCAAGTAGAATACAGAACAAGTTATGAGCGATGAGATTTAAATTGTTGAAGCTTGCAGAGAAGGACATTCAGGGATCTTACTGGCAGAGCTTTAAACTGAAAAGCATTGAGGGGTCAGAATGGGAGAGGAAACCTGGAGCTGAGACCTTGAACGTAGCAAATAAAGTTGTTTTGAAAGAAGCAGCAGCATATGTTTATGCTGAGCAAGAGAATGGATGGAATAGTTTGAGATGACTTCAGTGCTTTAAGCTGTAACAAACTCACTAGTGGTAATCAGAAGAGTGGAGAGGATGTAAGTGAGTGGTAGAGTAGGGTTTTAATCTAAGTGTAATTCAGTACATAGTCCTACCAGGCTACACAGACTGGCCAACAGGCTGAGTGTTAGGCTTCGGTGCTGGGACACATTTACGTCATAATATGCTGAGCTGTTTTTGAAATAGCAGAATTGTGTGGTATTTAGTCAAGTACTATCGGATATTTTTCTGAAAAAATGTTTAACTTGCTAATTAAATGACGTATAAATAAAGTGTTCAGTTTTGGACATCAATTTTACATTTCTTTTCATTGCAGTCAGAAATTGGATTTGGAAAAATGGAAACCTATATCAAGTTAGAAAAGCTTGGAGAGGTATGTATAGCTTTCTTCTGAAATGACTACTGCTTTGGTGACATTGTCTTATGTAAAATTTTATGTAAATGTTAACTGAAAATCCCCATATCCCTCAAAATACCCACTGAATTTATCTGTAAACCAAACAATATTAATCATGTATCACAACTTCACAACCACTCAAAAGTTTCATGCATATATAATAAGCAAATAAAAAAAAAAGCAGGGAACCCGTCAGTGGGCTGAAGACGAGCAAGGCTCCTTTAGCAAATGATCTGTGACCTTCTTAAGTATGCTGTCTTTGTGTGCAGATAGACAAAATTAGTCTGGCACTAATAACACCAGTTGTTAAGTCTGGTGTCTTCCTGCAGTGAGTTGGGTGTTGGGGAGTGCTCCTGCTGGACAAGAAGCAGCTGGCGCGTGCGGGGAGCCGGCAGTGGCCGTGAGTGTTCTGGCGGAGCAGCTGGAGCCAGGCAGCCAGCCCGGTGCTGCCCAGTGACGTACATAACGCTGGGATTGCCTCCCCTTCTGGGAGGGCAGCAGTACTGCTTCCCACCTCCTCTCAGCATCTGACATCCAGAGATTCGGTAGAATTGAGGAGGGGCCAGGCCTCAGTCCTGTCCAGTTGGATTGAGCTTGGCCAACGGGATCAAGAATGGACAAGGAGCACTGGAACGGGACACACAGAGGTCGCAGAAGGAAGCGGGGCTGTGAATCTTGCAGCCAGTCCTCTGCAACGCTCTCATCTCCACACGCATTTATTTCTTATTTTGCCTCTAGTACTTATTAGACGGATCACTAAACATGACATAACATTGCTTGTCTCTGGAGGGATGTTAATCTAGTAGCCTTCAAGTCATAGTTGCAGATTTACGTTATCTCACTTGCTTACAAAGTGCAGTGGACACCACCAGGTAAGTGCAGTAACCTAGAGCAATTTCTGTAACTTCATTGCTTCCTCATCGCAGTCGTGATTAGTTATATCTACTTGTTTTGCTGTATCTACTGTTTTGTCAGAATTTCTTGTCCTCGTGTAACATGCCCTGAGAGTTTTGAATCTCTTATTGTCTAAGCAGGAAAAAAACCCAAAAGAGACAAAGATAAGCTTCACAGTATTCTCTGTTCATTACGTCAACCAAAATGAAACTTTGACAACTTCCTCTCCCTCAAACTCATATAAAATATATGTCAGAGATAAGCAGCTCTCTATGTTTTCATAAAAGTAATGGGAGATTACGTCTGCAGCCTCAGAAACACAACTGTAATGTAGCAGAGATACCTGAGCTAGTTTTAATCAAGTAGAGACTTTAAAGAGGGTAAATGATCCCAGCAGTGAACTTCCTGAACTTAGTGTTCCCTGATCTGACTTCTTTGGTCGCTGTGTGGCGCGTGGCTTTCCATGTAATTTACGGGAATGCTAAGAACACACATCCCGTGTGTCTTGTGTGTATTCAGAGCTGTGCTTAAAAAGTAGTTTCATATATCTCAAAAAGAAGACAACATAAAAACTATTCATATCCACAATGAAACCTATTGGGAACCTCAGATGGAAGTCTATATTTTCTTTAACTTACTTTTCAGTAAAGGAACAATTTGTAAGGGTTTCCTTTTTTTTCCATTTCGAAGGGTACTTATGCAACGGTTTATAAGGGAAGAAGTAAATTGACAGAGAATCTTGTAGCTCTGAAGGAAATCCGCCTGGAACATGAAGAGGGAGCACCATGCACAGCCATAAGAGAAGGTAATAACTTTTTTGTTTAACTTCTCAGATTTTCATGTATTCTGGATTTCTTTTTGACCCAAGTGTACTGTTGGTACTTGGAAATACATCCACTACATGGAGATTAATGAAATTATTATCAGTTTTGATGAGGAAAGTTTTAGTCTAGGCATAGAAGAGTTATTGTTTCAAATGTATTTACTTTATGGGAGGTGGTTGTGTTCTCAAATGCAGTGTTATAACTGGATGATTTTATACTGAATTAGACTATTATTAGGGAGTAACTTTCAGGGATTTGAAATACCTTTTAATAAATTACTACTGCCTAAAGTGTATAATTTAGGAAATGTTTGCAGTTTGTTACTCAAGTGTCTGGTGTTGTGACTAAATACCTTTCTTACTAATTTAATCTGTATGAGTATTTTGTTCTTAAAAATAGCCTTTTAATTTCTTTTTAAAGCTTGTATGTGTCAACTTGCTAGAAGTACATTTGCTGCTTGTGTGGTTTCCATTTATTTATTTTATACTTGCAATTCTCTTTTACAGTGTCATTATTAAAAGATCTGAAGCATGCAAATATTGTTACATTGCACGATATTGTGCACACAGACAAGTCTTTGACTCTTGTTTTCGAATATTTGGTAAGTGCTTAAACTACTAGCAAGCTTTACATTCAGTTTATTGTTTCTAAGTAACACAGATGTAACAAAATTGTGTACTCTTTAAAAATACTGGGACTGTTAGCTTTCTCCTGCATCTAGAATCATTCAGCTGAACATGAGAAAAGCATATTCAATTCTTAAATTGCTGTAAATTAGTGAATACTGTTCTGATAATTTCAGTTTCGTTAATAGCAATTAGTATTGATCTACCTGAGCAAACTGTCTACTTCTGCCAAAATCATTAACTGCAAAAAAGAATAATCATGCTATTATTCAAATTCTGTTGTGGCGCAACTTTAGCAAGTTAGCCAAGGAGAAAAGTGTATTTTGAAGTAAACAACACATTCCAGTATTTTCTAACAACCTTTTCAAGTGAGTGTCCACAATTACATATCTCACTTGCTCACCTCTTGTGTTGTAGACTTTTCAGTTTCTCACTGAAGCTTTACCTAATGTGCTGACACATATAAGCACAATAAGAGGGATAGAGAAGAACTCCTTACTTCCAGTGTAATTGGATAATATAGCAATTTCATAAAACGCTGTGCCTCACGCAAGGTGGAGAAAGCAATAACAACTAACGTTGCCTGAGATGATGCATCTTGCTAGTAAAACTGGGAATTTATGTCCTCTGGGAAGTCAAGGATTTCTGCTCCTTCAGGCTTTGGGGTTTTTTTTTAATCATTGAACATCTTTGTCAGAAAACTCAGTTTGCTGATGAATTATTTCAGTCCTCATAATAAATAATATTCACATCATCTGTCGTCCACAATTTTGCTGAACAGTGATGATGGTGTTTTGACAGGACAAGGATCTGAAGCAGTACATGGATGATTGTGGTAACATCATGAGTATGCACAATGTAAAGGTGAGTGATCTTAGTGACAAGACTGTCCTCTAGCTTTCTCTGTTCTGAGAATTTCAGAGGACTTAATAATCAGGAGCTATATAGTTTAGAGCTTTTTTAAAAAAGTAAAATAAAGAAACTTAACTTCCTTTTTGACCTTTGGGCCTGACTTATCTACGTTTGACATCAGATTAAGTTTTTCTTTTTGGTCTTGACAGCTTTGAAGTGTCTAAAGCATTGAAAACAGGAGATATAACTTTATGTGTTTCCATTCTCTTTGGAATTATATATATAATATTAAAAATTTCTTTTAAAATAATAAATTTTCTTGACCTCTTCTTGTATTTCCATTATTTTGTACTCATTCATTAACTTAGGTCTGTAGTTTCGCATCTCCTCAAATAAAGTATGTAGACGCACACTGAGGAAAACGTAGCCTCAATCATGAATGTAAGTTTAGATGTCACTGCCTACCACACAAGTAGGAAATTGAAAATACCTATTTAAGAAGCAATGTTAATCTTTTTAGAAAGAAAATTGAAATTATTTTCTTTAACGTTTAATTGTCTGTTCCTTTAAACTGTAGCTGTGGCCAGGTCAAGTAACTCGGTTTCCATTCTGGCCTGCTGAAACTAACTCAAGTTCAAGTGTTGTCTTTCTCATAACAAGCAGGTTTAGATTTGGAAAACTAGAATAACTTTTTATGTTCTTTAATACTTACAGCTTTATAAACAGAATTCCAAACAGAAGAAGATAGTATCTTGAAATGAGTTGAGTTGTCCGAGGAGGTTGGGTTGCCAGTATCACCTCACTGTAGTGCAGCCTATGCTAGACCATACCTGCACAACCTCTTCATTAAGCCACGTATAATTTATATAAGGGATGTTATTTATGCAGTAGATGTGTTTGAGAAACTCTCCTTGAAAAAAAACCCCAAACTTTAAGCTGTGATCTTTAAGAACAAAGCCGTGAGTGTGCACTCCATGATGCGTGGCACAAAGGCAGTTCAGAACACAACACACTAAATCCTGTGAAGTGATGGGTTCTATGTGTGTTCTAGTAGAGTCGTCATCCTTGGTTTTGGCTTAGTTGCATGTTGAGAAATCTGTTCTTAGTTGAATTATGTATGAGATTCAGTGTAGATACTAGTTACTGCTTAGTTAGGTTTTTCTATTATTCTGTTGTCTCATTAC